GTCACTCCGGTTTTTTTAATTAAAAATAATTAGTCCCAGTGATACGTCACTGTATATCAATCACAATGAGAGCTAGCGATGGTGGTGACGTTCAGTACGACGCTTCACGCGCGCTTTTTTTCACGTTTTCGTCCGTTCGTCCATCTGATGATTAAATAGGTATAAAAACATTTACAATTGCCAAATTTTATAGAGTAAGTAGCATTATACGTGGGTTTTCTACACCCTTTTAGGTTGATTCTTTTTTTTTTTCCCCCTCTTATCTTTTTCCACGTTTCTCCAAACTGTTCCTTTTCTTCTTTTTACTTTTCTTTTTTCCGCAATTAGCTTTTGCTTTCGTTGCTTTCAATTTGCCCCGTTCTTCGTCCATTGCAGCAACTCCAATTTATTATTATTCTTTCATCTTACGTTGTACACATTATTTTGCTCGTCCGTTAAAATTCTCTCGTCGTGCGTGCTTGCGTGCGTACTTAGATGGGTGCGTGCGTGCGTATTCACTCACAGACTTGTAGAAGTTAGCTCCATGACTGGTAGGAATCTTGATACCATTCGTGATCATCGCTGGAAATGCCGCCGAGAGTAGCGGTCCTACCTCCAAATCCTATGTCACCGCCGCCACCACCACCACTGCCACCGTTCACACTCGCCAATCCGTACGCATTGCCCAGTGGTTGTTGGGCGAGGGGTTGGTTTCCCCAGTTGCTCTGGAAGCGACGCTTAGATTCCCCCTGGTTCTGGTGACCCCCGTCAAATTTTCGTTTACCTGCTATACAAAGAAACAAACAGATCTTTGTCACATTAGATTTTCTTGCTGCGATGGAAATACGATTTCGAACCTCGCCGTGCGACAAACACGATCTCTCCTTCCCATACACACGCACATGTGCACACACAGACACAAGCACACATCCGCTTCTTCATTGTTATCTCTGATAAGTGCAAAGAGCAATCGTTACTTAATCGGCTGGTCACTCGTTCGAATCGCATCATTGTACGACATAGTCAAGTATGTATATATCATGACACTCCTATATGCCATAAGACTGGAGCGTTAAAAACGTGTACAACAAAACGAAATAAAAACGACGATGTGTACTAAGTGAATTGGGGAACATAACTACTGAAAACTAGTGCTTTCGAAAACACATATGGTGTTATTGATTGGAAGGAAACCGATCAGTCAACTCTAGCTCGAGGGAAGTAGGAGACACGTCTGAAAATATTACGACTGAACGCGTACTGAAAAGACAGATTGTCGTCGTTTTCAACGATCTAGCTGGAAAATAGGAAAATTGGAAAATCTGTCGCCCCGATTCTAAGATGGAGAAACGTCGCATGACTATTACAAAGAAAAATCAAAGTGTAGCTACTCGATTTAATGTGACAGCTGCGCTTTTTTTTGAAACATTCGACTAGTCGAATAAGATCTCGTTGCAGCACATTTACATTTCATTCAAGTTCAAGAACACGAAAAAAAAAA